AAATTGTATTAGTTTTCTATTATAACAAATCACCAAACATAGTGGAATAATGAAATACAAATTTATTATCTTACAGTTCTAGATGTCAGAAATCTGACATCAGTCTCACTGGGCTGAAATCAAGGTGTTGACAAATCTTCATTCTTTCTAGAGACTCCAGAGCAGCGGTTCTCAGACTTCCTAATGATGTGACCCTTTCTACAGTTCCTCATGTTGTGGTGACCCCCCCAAACATAAAATTATTTTAGTTGCTATTTCATCACTGTAATTTTGCTACTGTTATGAATCATGCGACCCCTGTGAAAGGGATGTTCAACCCCCAAAGGTGCCGTGACCCACAGGTAGAGAACCGCTGTTCCAAGAGCTACTTTGTTTGTCGGCTGCCCACATTTCCTGACTTAGCGCCCTGACTCACTCCTCCTCCCTGCATCCAGTCGGTGTTTCTCCATCCTGTCTCTTCTTCCAACATGGATCTTCTTGGCTCCCTCTCACAAGGAACCCTTGATAATTTATAAATTATTTTTACATTTCATATTTTACACCATCTGCTGTCTCCCTTCACCCATGTTTCTGTTGTTCATCTCCCTGGGTGGGGGTTTTACATCGATTATTGGTCCTAAGGGGTTATTTGTCCTGGATTCTGTGTGTCGAGAACTCTTATATATCCATGCTGTGGTTGAGCCAGATTTGTAAGATAGAACCAGAGTCATGATATTAAAGAACTAAAAGAATATGGTGTGTTTCGTCGGTGCTATACTGCACCTTGGCTAGCTCGTCCCTTCTTTGTGACCCTTCTGTGAGGGGATGTCCAATTGGGTTCTGATTAAAATTTGTCAAAGTCCAATTATATAAAATGATCCCACAGCTAGTTCCTGGGTAATAAATATTGGACTTACAGACAACCTATATTTGTGAACCAAACCTGTGAAGCCTCATTTTTCTGCTGAGGATTGGCTGGTGGGTTTAAGTCGCCAGTCTTGTGGTTAGTAGTCCAACACTTAATTGACAGTGCCACTAGGGCTCCTTATAGGATGGCACATTCATGCTATATACTATGACAAACATGTGACTATTTTTAGATGTGAACCATAACAACTGTCTGACTTACATACATATTTGACATAAAGACAGACTTAGAAAAGGAAGTTTGTGGTCTGGGGACTACTTGTTTGTATTTATTTATTTTGTTTTCTATTTGTCCATATATTTAAAAAATCATTTTATTGGGGGCTCGTACAACTCTT